CGCGTCCGGGCGGTGCGGGGCGCGCGGGGCTGGCGCTCGGCTGCTGCTTGGTGGAGCGCGGGGACGACGCCGGGACGCGGGAGCCTGCGGGGCCTTCCGGCCCGGCCCCGGCTGCATCTCCAGCTCTGTGGGGCCCAAGGCGCCCGAGAGCCCTTCGCCGTCTGCCTAGGTGAGTGGGCTTGACCACTGAGGGGTCTCTCGCCCCCCAACCAGAGCCACAGGTCGGGGAGCAGGCTGCGGTCGAGGGGCGACGTGATCTTGAGACGCGAAGTAAAAAATGCAACAGGCAGGGCAGATCAGGAAACTCCTAGCGTTAGTGTTTCCTGCGGAGAGGAGACTTGTCCAAGACTGAAACTTGGTTAGGTTCCTCTAAACCCGAGACGGCACGGGAGAGCTCGCTCCCTAAGCCTGGGTCTGGGCTCCCTCTCGTGGCTTCTTGCAAGGATAGTGACCGCGGCTACAGGTGAGCCTGGAGCAGACCGCCGGGCATCGCTCTGCCCCGCTCCGGGGGATGGCCTCTCCCCCGGGAAAGTGAAAGGTCTGAGTCCTTCTTGCGTCTTCTGATCCCCGAACCATAAAAATGGAACAGGAATAAATAAAAAAGGGCTTTCTGCTTTTAATCATTTGTCTCTGTGTCCTTTTGTAACAAAAATGATAGTTGAACTCATTTTTACCTTTATGGCATTTGAATAAAACCATTCCCAATGACAAAAATATGCCACAGCTGAGATCTAACTATATCTTGTTGCTTGTCCTGATGTTCACTAGGTTCCAAATATGTCCATCATGGAATAAGAAAGATACTCATTTGAAATAACTTAATTGTACATAATATACAATTTTATTGTACTTTACAGATTTCTAGCAAGTGGTTGTCATATTTAAATCATTGGTTTATCTCCACTCCTAACAAACCTGTAGCCTCAGAGAATTGCTTTGCTTTGTTTTTCCCCCAGAAAAGAGTGTCATGAAAAGGAACAGAAAAGAGACCTCACGCTTGGTGAAAGGGGACTTCTCTTTCCTGGTTGGTGTTCTTGCTTCATGTTCAAAGAGAAGTACCTAGGTGGCTGAAGAGATTAGATTTTCAGTGTTTCACAGACGAAAAGAACATACGGAGCTGCTTTTTATGTGTCTTAATAGTTTGCTGAGTAAGTAACCCTAAAAGAAAAAAGGATGTCAACTGAAGGCAGAAATTCTGATTTTGTTTTTAAGTGACACAGGACTTTGAGTACTTGTTGAGAATATTTTTCTCCCCCAAAAAATGGAAGAAGAAAAAAACACACAAACCAAGAAACATAAAAAGTTGAGAAGAATAATAATTGAGTTTGCTAACTGCAAGCACGCCGGTTACTCTGTCATCTTCTTTAGACAAACACCGGAAACATACCACGCATTTGTGATTCATTTATTACCAGGGATGGTTTCCTATGTTAAGAATGACTCTTAATTGAAATTTTCAAGTGCTTTTTCTCTGTTTTATGGTGTATATTTTGACTTTTAATTTTAGATAGGTTTACGTAAAGAATGTAAATGCTGAATTCATAGTATTTTTGACTATACCACTCACTCTTCCCTACATGTTACGGAAAAAGTATTATTATTCTTTGAAGTTTTATTTGAATCAAAATTGTGCCAGGGACACAGTGTAAGTTTTCTTTTTTTTTGGCAACTGTACTGGCTTTGAGTGAGCTGGTTGTCAGCTGGATTTCACCGCACATAGGATTTAAAGTCTATTTTATCAGGATCTTTAATGTATGTTTTATACTGGCCAGATAGGAAACACATTAAACACTGTGTTTAACATATATGCCTAAGGAAAGGATCTTCCCCATGGATCATGGCGTTAATGTTTACAGGACATTTCCTATTTTTAACATTAGTAATGTTTGGTTTCTCTACTTTAGAAGAACCTGTGAGCAATTACTCTGAATGGGCAGTTTTCACAGATGATATAGATCAGTTTAAGATGCAGAAAGTACATGATGTCAGACCCAAACAAAAGCTGAGGCGAAGTATGCTTCATCCAAGTTTATATTTTGATGCTGGAGAAATCCAAGCAATGAGACAAAAGTCTCGCACAAGCCATTCGCATCTTTTCAGAGCTATCAGAAGTGCAGTGACAGTTATGCTGTCCAACCCAACGTACTACCTACCTCCACCCAAGCACGCTGATTTTGCTGCCAAGTGGAATGAAATCTATGGTAACAATCTGCCTCCGTTAGCGTTGTACTGTTTGTTATGCCCAGAAGACAAAGTTGCCTTTGAATTTGTCTTGGAATATATGGACAGAATGGTTGGCTACAAAGACTGGCTGGTTGAGAATGCGCCGGGAGATGAGGTTCCAATTGGCCATTCCTTGACAGGTTTTGCCACTGCCTTTGACTTTTTGTATAACTTACTAGATAATCATCGAAGACAAGAATACCTTGAAAAGATATGGGTCATTACTGAGGAAATGTATGAGTATTCCAAAGTTCGCTCATGGGGCAAGCAACTTCTTCACAACCACCAGGCTACTAATATGATAGCGTTGCTCACAGGGGCCTTGGTTGCAGGGGTAGAAAAAGGATCGAAAGCAAATATATGGAAACAAGTTGTCGTGGATGTGATGGAAAAGACCATGTTTCTGTTGAATCATATTGTTGATGGCTCCTTGGATGAAGGTGTGGCCTATGGAAGCTACACAGCTAAATCAGTCACACAGTATGTGTTTTTGGCACAGCGCCACTTTAATATCAACAACTTGGATAATAACTGGTTAAGAATGCACTTTTGGTTCTATTATGCTACCCTATTGCCAGGCTTCCAGAGAACTGTGGGAATAGCAGATTCCAATTATAATTGGTTTTATGGTCCAGAGAGCCAGCTAGTGTTTTTGGATAAGTTCATCTTGAAGAATGGAGCTGGAAATTGGTTGGCTCAACAAATTAGAAAGCACCGACCCAAAGATGGACCAATGGTTCCTTCTACTGCTCAAAGGTGGAGCACTCTCCACACCGAGTTTGTCTGGTATGATCCCCAGCACACCCCACAACCTCCTGCTGGTTATGGTACTGCTAAAATGCATGTGTTTCCCAACTGGGGTGTTGTCACTTATGGGGCCGGACTACCAAACACACAAACCAACACCTTTGTGTCTTTTAAATCTGGGAAGCTGGGAGGACGAGCTGTTTATGACATAGTTCATTTTCAGCCATATTCTTGGATTGATGGATGGAGAAGTTTTAACCCAGGACATGAGCATCCAGATCAGAACTCATTTACTTTTGCCCCCAATGGGCAAGTATTTGTTTCTGAGGCTCTCTATGGGCCGAAGTTGAGCCACCTCAACAATGTATTGGTATTCGCTCCATCACCATCAAGCCAGTGTAATAAACCCTGGGAAGGTCAACTAGGAGAATGTGCACAGTGGCTCAAGTGGACTGGCGAAGAGGTCGGTGATGCAGCTGGGGAAATTATCACTGCCTCTCAGCACGGGGAAATGATACTTGTGAGTGGGGAAGCAGTGTCTGCTTATTCTTCGGCAATGAGACTGAAAAGTGTGTATCGTGCTTTACTGCTCTTAAATTCTCAAACTCTACTAGTTGTTGATCACATTGAAAGGCAAGAAAGTTCCCCAATAAATTCTGTCAGTGCCTTCTTTCATAATCTGGATATTGACTTTAAATATATCCCATATAGGTTCATGAACAAGTATAATGGTGCCATGATGGACGTGTGGGATGCGCACTACAAAATGTTTTGGTTTGATCAGCATGGCAACAGCCCGGTGGGTAGTATACAGGAAGCAGAGCAAGCTGCTGAATTTAAGAAAAGGTGGACTCAATTTGTTAATGTTACATTTCAGATGGATTCCACTATCACAAGAATTGCATACATCTTTTACGGGCCATATGTCAATGTTTCCAGCTGCAGATTCATTGATAGCTCCAATACTGGACTTCAGATTTCTCTCAATGTCAATAATACGGAACATGTTGTTTCCATTGTAACTGACTACCATAACCTGAATACCAGATTCAGGTACTTGGGGTTTGGTGGGTTTGCCAGTGTGGCCAATCAAAACCAAATAACCCGCTTTGGTTTGGGCACGGAAGCAATAGTCAAGCCTGCAAGACAAGATAGAGTCATTTTCCCCTTTGGATTTAAATTTAATTTGGCAATTGGATTAATTCTGTGCATTAGTTTGGTTATTTTAACTTTTCAGTGGCGATTTTACCTTTCTTTTAGAAAGCTGATGCGATGGATACTAATACTTGTCATTGCCTTGTGGTTTATTGAGCTTCTGGATGTGTGGAGTACTTGCACTCAGCCCATCTGTGCAAAATGGACAAAGAAAGAGACGGAGGCCAGCAAGAAGACAGTATCCTCTGAAGGGCGCTATGTGGATCTTCCTGATGTTGTCATTACCTCACTTCCTGGTTCAGGAGCTGAAATTCTCAAGCAACTTTTTTTCAACAGTAGTGATTTCCTCTACATCAGAGTTCCTACAGCCTACATTGATATCCCTAAAACTGAATTTGAAATCAACTCATTTGTAGATGCTTGTGAATGGAAAGTGACAGATATTCACAGTGGGCATTTTCGTTTACTCCGAGGCTGGTTGCAGTCTTTAGTACAGGACACAAAAATACATTTGCAAAATATCCATCTACGTGAACCCAGTAGGGGTAAACTGGCCCAATATTTTACAATGAATAAGGACAAAAAAAGAAAGTTGAAAAGGAGAGAGTCTTTGCTAGAACAAAGAAGTAGAATGAAAAGCTCCTTTGATAGAGATGCTGAATATATTAGGGCTTTGAGGAGACACCTCATTTATTACCCCAGCGCACGGCCTGTGCTCAGTTTAAGTAGTGGTAGTTGGACATTAAAGCTTCCATTTTTTCAGGAAGTTTTAGGGACTTCTATGAGAGCACTGTACATAGTAAGAGACCCTCGCGCATGGATTTACTCAATGCTATACAGTAGTAAACCAAGTCTTTACGCTTTGAAGAATGTACCAGAACATTTAGCAAAATTGTTTAAAATAGGAAGTAAAGGCAAATGTGGATTAAACTCCAACTATGCTATTGAGTATGAACCATTGCGAAAAGAATTAGCAAGCTCCCAGTCTAATGCTGTCTCCTTATTGTCACATTTGTGGCTTGCAAACACAGCAGCAGCTTTGAGAATAAATACAAATTTGCTACCTACTCACTACCAGCTCATAAAATTTGAAGATCTTGTTCATTTCCCTCAGACAACTACTGAAAGGGTGTTTGCTTTTCTTGGAATTCCTCTGTCTCCTGCTAGTTTAAACCAAATATTGTTTGCTACTTCCACAAACCTTTTTTACCTTCCTTATGAGGGGGAAATATCACCCAGTAATGCCAATGTCTGGAAACAAAACTTGCCTAGAGATGAAATTAAATTAATTGAAGACATCTGCTGGACACTGATGGATCATCTAGGATATCCAAAGTTTATGGACTAAATGCTGCAGGTCAGCAGAAATTTGCACTAATGTTTCCCAACTCGTTTGTGGATATGAACTAGAAGAGTTTGTTTATTCTTGTATTCTGTGTGCGTGTGTGTGGACATGTGTGTGGGAGTGTGTGTGTGTTTCAGTCTGTTACTTGCACAGAGAAATAATTTTAAAAATAAGTACCATATTTTGCCTAGCAGGATTTACTTTTATGTTCTCACTTTCTTTGCCTCTGTTTCTTACGTTTTCTCTGCTGAAATATTTGTGTTACATAGGTGCAGATGAAATGATAGTGTGGGGGCCCAGGGAGATGAGAAGATGTTGTTTAACTCGCATTCATCTGTAACTGTGCTAATCTTTTAGGGACCTCAAGCATTACTGAAAGGCCTTGTAATTGCTACTTTACCCAAGCATTTATTTCTTACAAAATGGACTACAAAAGTTTCTTATCTTTTTGAAAAGATCTTCTGAAACACTTCTATGTCACAAAGAAAAAGAGAAATTCCTTTCAGTTTGTATAATGTTCAGTGATGTCACTGGGGAAACAGTAAAAGTTCCTATCAGAATGATCAGATTCCTTCTAAAAAGTACAAATGGAAATTCAGAATAAAGATTTCTTTTCGAAGGTCAGAAACTGCCTGGAAAAAGCCTCTTAAGTTTTTTTTTTTTTTTTTTTTTTTTTAAACTTAGAAATAATAAGGACCAAGTCTGTGAGCAGTGTGAGTGTGAAGGGCTGGGAGATTATTTATACATGCCTATCTGTTTAAAACTCTTTCCTGCCTCTGAGAAAGTACAGCTGTTTGCCATGACACCACTCCCACCCTGTCCTTTCTGTCACTGTCAACCATAACAGTCAGTAGTCACTAATTGCCAAACTCCCAGTGTTTGTGAGGATTTTCTCCCTGATGATTAATTTCGTGTTAAACTGATGCAGACATCAAAGAAACTATTTTTGTGGAATTGCCCCTGTCTAACTCAAAGTAAGCAGTACCGCCATTGTAGTTTCTTGGGAGGGGATTGGGGTTTTCTTCTTTGGTCTGGAGACTGAATTGGAAAACTGCCTGACTTATCTTGTATCCCTGTGAGTGAGTTTACAGACTGCCACTGTCTGCAAAAGTTGAAGGCAAATGGGAGATGATGTCAGAGGCATCTGTTTCCTTTACCATCTGCATCTTATTATAAATGTAGCAACATAAAAATGTGGCTCATTTCATTCTGTATATTCTGAAATCAAAATGCTATGCCATTATATGCCAGTAAAGTAATTACAGTGTACTGGATGAAGGCAGTGTTGAGTCAAGACTTGATGGGAATTTCTGTAGATTGCAGTCTTCCTGATAGTTCAGACTACGAACTGTAGTTCCCTCAAGCTCCCTAACTCTTGGAGTCTGTCATTCTGACCTAGATAAAAGTGGTTCTGTCTCAGTAGTTTGTTATTATGTCCAAATGTGCCTCCAGAGTGATAAAGCTGGGGATGTGTTACATTCCACCTAAACCCAGCTTGGCTGTCATTTTCCTTCTATTAGGTTGTGAGTGGAGACTGCTCCCCTTCCCCGGCACTTCCTTCCCATAGCTCATAATTGTCCCTTTATACTGTCAGCATGAATGAGAAATATGTGAATACACATTCAAGGGGTACTGAGAATTTAAATCAACACTGTTATTCTGAAGGAAGATTATGTTTTCTATCTTAGGGTTATCAGCAAACATGTGAAATTGGTACATGGATGGTAACGCTCTTTCCATTATTGGTCAGTCTCAGTGTTTGCTTTCAATTCCCAGGATGTGTGAACTTGAATCTAATCAAATAAAAAGGCTTTGGGTTGGAAGTGGTATTAGATCCACACAAGGTAAGAATTACAGATGCATGCAGCTATCACAAAAGACAGCAGCAGCTCCCACTGCCTTTCTTTGAACATTGCGCAGAAGTGCACCTACAGAAGAAAACAGGCAAATGAATTAGGAGGAATAGGAGAAGCAATGTGGAAAGTGAAAGAGCAAGGAGTTCTGAGAATTAACGTGGGAATATATGGATCTCAGTGTGACTTGGCTGGGCATATCAGGGCACCGCTGAATTTACTCATTTCTTTTCACCTACTCCCCTCCCCCAGGGGAAATTTCAGACATGACCCCTCATGTTAATTCTGAAATAGAAAGCTTGGTAAAGATTTTACTGCGCAACTCCCCCATGAGGAACATTAAAGGTAAGGGGCTAATGGATCCAGTGGGTATGTGTGCGTCCCTTAAGGGGCTGACTCCCAGCACACCTGCAGACCCTGCACTCTCAGGGTGACCTAAGGAAAATGAACCTCTGCTTATGGTTATATCACACAAATAGAGAAAGATGGTCACTGGCTAATATTGTTCAAAGAAACTTCTATACAATATCCTATCTGTAAAAACCATCCCTTCATTAAATTACTCAAATTTAGGTCGAATTGGATAAAATATTAAAAATATAGCAAGAAGGTTTTTCAAAGATGTGTTGATTTTGCTGTAACAAAGGTCATGATCTAGTTTTCAAGTGTTAAAAATATTACAGAATGGGGGGCCTGTCAGTTAGCTCAGTTGTTTAAGCACCTGCGCATACAAGTTCAGTCAGGTGCTGGATACCACAGTTGATCCCCACCTCCACCTGCCTTACCAGACACACCCTTAAGGCAGCCTGAGTCAGCCCCCCCACCCCAAAAAAACTCAACTTTGAAAAAAAAATACAGATTTGTTTAAGACAAAAATAGATCATTCCTAGATTTAAATTCAGTATTATGGAAAATCAAAAGAGGGTAGGAAACAGAAGACTATGATAAGGGAAGAAAGCTAAATCTCTGAGTATGTTTTAATTTGTAGAACTTACAATACAAATTTTGTTGAGAAGACAACCAGATATGTTAATCTTTGTTTTATTTTGCTTTGTTTATTTGCAGTACTGCGGAGAGCTGAACACAGGGCTTTCACTGATCTATCTCCTCCCGACCACCTTTGTCAAGAAAAGATCTCCCTAAGTTACCAGGCCTGAGCGGGAGCTTGGGATCCTCCTGCCTCAGATTCCCAAGTGCTAAGGTTGCAGGGGTGCCACCAGGCCAAGCTTTAATTTGTCTTTGTAAGCAAAAATTAATAATTAAGAAATGCCTGGCACTGAGGTCAGTCCTCAGCATCCATGACATGTTTAAGGACCTGCCTGCCACATTTCTCTTTGCAGTTGCATTCAAAGAATCACACCTATGCACTAGCATCTTAAAAATTCCATGTTATTTCATCTTTACTCTCTGCCATTTAATTTTAACATCATAGATCTGATGAGAATCATGTGTACCACCAAAGCTGCTAGTCATTCTTGACCTATAAAGTATATTACATTTCATTATGAGTGAGTGAGCAATAGTAATTTCAAAGTCATTTGAGTTGATTAACTGTAATCATAATTAGAAATTCACTTAATATAAAATATGTAAATAGAAACCAGATGTTATAACACCACATTTAATGGTAGGAGTGCCTAATATTCTAAGGTATCAATATATTGCATGTGTTGACTGTTTACTATCTATGTTTATATTGACTAAATTTCTTTCTTTTTTTTTTTTCTTTGGTGGAACTGGGGATTGAACTCAGGCCCTTAGCACTTGCCAGGCAAGCGCTTATTCTACTGAGCCATCTCCTTGGCCCCCTATATTTACTAAATTTCTGATATCACTTATTATTATTCCCCTCTATTTTAACAGAAAAATTATCCAAATTAAAAAAATGACATCACATGTTTGTATGGAAGATAAGCACTTTAAAAACAAGATTCCAATGTCCCCCAAAGAAACCCCAAGATTTTTAAATACTTGAACTACAATTCTTATGAATTTATGCTATATATAACCCAGGTGTCACATGATTGATTCTGTTTTCAAATATCACTTCAGCTGTGTCTTCCAAAACATGGGAAGTTTTGTTTGCTTTTTTCTTTCTCACCCTATCCAGTAATGCTGCAAAGAAAACAGACCGAAGAATATTAACTAGTTTATCGTCTGTATCTGTATAACAAGACCCTTCTATGACACAATACAAAAATAAAAAGCTAAAAGCAACATGACTATGGAATAATTTTGCCTTACCCCTCTTTTTAGGCCCATGAGTAATGGTGTTGGAAAACACAAGGCAAATTTAATGCAGTTAACTAGTCCCACACATTTTAGCCAGTAAACACGAAGACTTCCTCTGATTGTCCTACCATCAACTCCTGACCAATTCCTAGTCTTGGCTCTCTAGCTTTAAAGTGCTAGTGTGCCAGGAATATAGCTCAGTGGCACAGTGCCTGTCTAGCAAGTGCAAGGTCCTGAGTTCAATTTCTGGTACAAACCAAAACCAAGAACTAGTGTGTGTGTGTGGTCACTAAGCTCCTGTACTGTCCATTTGGCCTCTGCTCACTGTCACCACTAGTCATTGTCACTTAGCTTGGCCTTGCTGTGAAGAAGAAACTTTATACAAGTGGCATGCTGAATAGATGCCTCAAGTAATAGACATAGTACAGACTTACTCTTTTGAGATATCTTGAGAAATCTCACAACTTGTGTAGTTATTTTAATATAAACTTTAAACTCATTAAATGATTGTTCTAATTAAATGAATTGTATTGATTGATCAAGATTTAGGAAGATTTTTTTAAACTGGAATATTCTATGAAGGAAATTATTCATTAATTCACTCCTTTATCACATTTTTTGAATATCAACTGTCATGGTATTGATTGCATGAGTAAGGGCTGGCCAAATAGCTCAGCAGATTAAAGCTCCTGCTTAGGCAAATGCAGTAGCCGGAGTTCTATCCCAGCATGCTGTGCTGGCCCCACCCCTGTGATGGCCATTGAGACTGGGCCTGGTGGCATGCGCTTGTAATCCCAGCACATGGGAGGCTATAAACAGGAGGGTCACTACGAGTCCAGTCTATGCAGAAAGACCCTGTAGCCCCTGTCCAAAAAAAAA